CCCTCGACTGCTGACCCTTCGCTATTTCTGCGCACAGACACTTCTCTGTCGCCGTTCTACGTCCTCGTGTACGTCGACGACTTGGTTTTTGATACTGCTGACAGTGAGGCACTCGCCCTAGTGAAGGCGGAGTTGCAGGAGAGACACACCTGCACTGGCCTGGGTCAGCTGCGGAGCTATCTTGGCTTGCAGATCACCTGGGACAGAGCACGGCGCACCATCACCCTGACTCAGTCACACATGGTGCACCAGGTCCTTCAGCGCTTCGGCTTCCAGTTCTCCTCGCCACAACCTACTCCTCTGCCTACAGGCCACTCGCTCTCAGCTCCACCTTCGGACAAGTCCGTAGAGCTGAGTGGTCCGTATCCAGAGCTTGTGGGTTGCCTCATGTACTTGATGACGTGCACACGACCTGACCTCACGTACCCTCTCAGCATCCTTGCTCGCTTCGTTGCGCCCGGTAGACACCGGAAAGAGCACTGGACAACTGCACAGAGGGTACTGCGTTACTTGTGCAGTACATCAGGCATGTGCCTTGTACTTGGGGGACGGGGTCCAGTTGTTCTCACCGGTCACTCAGACGCTTCTTGGGCTGACGACCAGACGACTCACCGGTCGACACAGGGTTACAGTTTCAGCCTCGGCACTGGTTCGGTCTCGTGGAGGTCCACTCGCTTGTCTTCTGTACTTAGTTCCAGCTGTAAGGCCGAGATATACGCTGGGGCTGTGGCTGCACAGGAGCTCCGCTGGCTGACCTACCTGCTGACCGACTTGGGTGAGCGGCTTCGTTCTCCTCCAGTTTTGTACGTCGACAACAAGGCCATGATTGCCTTGTGTCAGGACCAGAGACTGGAGCACAGAACGAAGCACATTGCTCGTTGATACTTCCTCGCACGAGAGTTGCAACAGCGTGGTCAGCTACACCTTTCGTACATAGCTTCACAGGCCAACACTGTTGATATCTTCACCAAGGCCCTCAGGTCTGGTGATCATCAGCGTTTCTGCACTGCTCTTGGGCTTGTGCCCACTCTGCCTCACCTGCTTGTCGCTTGATCTTGCCTTGCAATGTTGTACTATGATATATATGATTATGCCTGCATGTTTCCACTTGCTAGGTTGTGATCAGTGTACTGCAATTGCTCTAATAAACTCAGCATGTGGACTGCCCTTGTGGCCACTTGCTTGTGCTCGGACTGCGTGGTGATCTTGAGATCCACCCTGAGCTTTGTTTTGTTTGATTCTCTTGACTGGTCTTGTGACCGCTTGTTGTCCCCCACTTCGCCTATGGGGGTGTGTCAAAACATGTTTATATGTTGTTAGTCATGTTAGTTCTCTTAGGCTGCAGTGTGGTACCTAGTACAGGGTACAACACAACTCTCTCGACACTTGTACCCTATTCTCCTACTAGTCGATCATTCCTCATAGTTCTAACACCTTGCTCGTCCGCATGTGTTAGCTTCTAATCAAGCCTAGATAATATGTCGTGCGAAGTTCTTAATGGATTCTTTAGTGTTTAAGCTAATACTGTGAAAGCTACTTAGTGTTTTGAAATATCTATGTCAAAATGCATGACAAATACATACCTGCTTATTATTGTTCGTAGCTGCTCATAAGTGCGAGGTGTACTTGGCTGGTTATTAGCGAGTCCGGCCAACTATCTAATCAACTGGCGCTAGCTGCTGCTCTGGCGAAATGACGCGCATCGTCGGAAATCGCGTTTCTCTCAATTGCATCAACCCAAATTATAGCGACCTCGCCACATCGAATCTTCTCTAAATTGGATGGACCGCATTTGCGCTCGCCCTGTTCGCTCGCCTTTCCCACCCTTCCCCCCGTCGCGGCGGGCGCCCCTCTGCCCTGCTTCCCGTCGTCCCCGCCGCCCGACCCCGCGCGCTTCCTCCTGCCTCTCCTGGTTCGCGTGCAGCAGTTGGGGGGGGAGGGGGGGGGGTGGGACGCGGGAGTGGCGGTGGGGGGTGGCTGCACCTATAGCGCCAGCCCGCCTCCTCTCTCTCACGGCTGCGCCTGCTGGTGTGGGGGGGAGGGTGAGGAGGTGGCGGATGTGTTTCAGCAGCAGCCGCCTCAACCCCCCCCCCTCAGCCTCTCTCCTACTGCCACACCTGCTGCTGTGGGGGAAGAGGGTGAGGGGTGGCAGGAGTGAAGTCAAGCTGCCACCGCTGCACCTGATGACGCTGCATCTGCCACCGCAGCACCTGCTGCACCTGCTCTGGTGTACCCCTTCATTTGGTGCTGCTGCTCATGGTTATTGCTGCAAGCAGTTATGGGGGCGTGTCAAGAAATGAATTTCTATATATGTAACTGCCCTTTGCATTAGCCTAGTGTAGTGTAGCATAATGTTAGTGGTGCACCCCTTGCATGCTTGCATTGCTTGTATAACCCTAGACTCTCTTCTTTGCCTAACTTTCTAGCCATGGTTACTAAGGTTCCTAACCTATGCCTAGGCTATTTTGACATGGTATCTAGAGCTAGAAGTTCCTAAGGACCTCCGTCATGATTTCCAATGGGCCCGTTATGCAGCGCCCCTGCCCGTCGCGCGCCCCGAGCGCGCGTCGGTTTCTGCCCGTCGCGCGCCTCGAGCGCGCGTCGGTTTCTGCCAGCCGCGCGCCCTGCTGCCCTGCGTACCCCGCACGCCCTGCTGCCCTGCGCGCCCTGCGCACCGTGCTGCCCTGCGCGCCCGGCGCGCCCTGCTGCGTTGCGCGCCCTGCAACGGTGCGTGGCGACTGCGGTGCGCGCGGCTGCTCTCCTCTGCACACGCATCTGCAGCCGCAGGTGCAGCCCCTACCCCGCCCCGCCCCCCTTCTCCTCCCTCTATCTGCTGTGTGTGCAGAAGGTGGGGGGGGGGTGTGAGGGGGAGGTTGCATCTATAGCGCCAGCCTGCCTCCTCTCTCTCACGGCCGCACCTGCTGCTGTGGGGGGGAGTGTGAAGTGGTGGGGAGGTTCAGGGGGTGTCGGTGGTGGGTGACTCAACTGCAGCAACTGCCGCCACGCCCCCTCCTCTCTCTCCTCACTTGCCCTCTGCTACTTCCGCTGCACTCTACATGGTGTACCCCGTAAGGGGGCGTTACTACACTAGTACCTGCAAACAATTATGGGGGCGTGTCAAAATATGCTATTCATATTTTATATCATTGTTTGTAGTGTTAATGTAATTACCTTATCTTGTTTGGTGGTGGTGCACCTCCTTGCCTTGCTTGTCTTGTTTCCTATATCTTGTACCCTTGTTTCTTAGTGAAACCCCTCTTCTTTGCCTAACTTTCTAGCCATGGTTACTAAGGTTCCTAACCTATGCCTAGGCTAGTTTGACATTCACAAACACTCACAATTAACGATGTACATGTATTCGCCACGCGTGGCGAGTCTGATTGGTCGAAAATGTCGTGATTCATAGTAGCGCGCCCAATTGACGTGCGTGCGTAATTTTGCGCGCTTTTAGGGAGACTGACGCGTGTGGAGCCTCGAACACCACACCGTTTCAATGTCAACGTTCATGAATGTCGACGGGGGTGGGTTAGGTGCATGAGCTGTCATGAGTATAACCCCACCCTATCAACATTCATGGCCATCGAGTTTGGGGAACCAATGCATGCTTGGCGTGTAGATTCTGGACATGATCCTGATGGGCCCTCTCTCCATCACGTCATGTTCCCACATTGCACCTTCCCACGCATCACAGGCGGCCCTTCCGCCTAACCCTTCACCTCCTTCATTCGTGACATTATTGTAGGCCGTGTCTCTAGAGGGCTTTTAAACTGTTACCTCGTTTCTTTGAGCCTCCATATAGTTTTGTTACGCGTTCGGCCGGCATGGATTTGCGCACCAAGACATTCCTGGGGAAGCGGCAAGAAGAGTCTGCCCACGACGATTCGGACGATGGTGAATCTAACGACTCCGACGTGAAGCTCGTTCCCGACGAGCATGGCAAAAGCAGGAAGAGAGGGAAGCAACGTAAAGGGCCGAAAGAACAGCCTAGCACATCGCCCATCAAGTTCTCAATGCACGTGGTGTGCAAGGAGGTGTTGCCACCCTTGGATGACATCATCTCTGCATTCGCCAAAGGTCGCGGGCCTCCTGCGCCAACAAAAGGTTCTCGCGGCCCAAACATCAAGAGTCCTCATTTCCCGACGAAAGCCTTGTTCAACTCACTGCATCAAAACGCGTTCATCAGTGCAGTCGATGCGATGCGTATTCAGGACGGTTTCGAGGTAAGGACTACCCTGATCGACTTTCACAACATGTGAGTTCTGAATGTGTGCTTTAACTCTACGTCGATGTTTGCTTTAATCCATATGGCCTAACGGTTCCTTATTTTGTTTATTGTACCGTTGCAGTCTCCTGAGCATAAGGCACCCGAAAACCTCAAACATCCAGACATGGCTTGCGCTGGACACGGGCGCTTATCTCACGGCGGCGAATCAGCATATGCTCTTCACTGGGTTTTAGGGCGGCTCAATCCTTTATTAAGAGTACGTTCTTGTCATAATTACAACAACTTAAGCATGTTTTTTTCCGTTGTTTATGTATGCGCTTGGCATTCTACCCACTGCGTCATGGTGTGGGTTTAGCGCAACTACTAATAATATTTGTGTGTTGTGTTGTAGTGAGCCCAGGAATTTCAGCTAGGTCGTCATCAAGGAGCCGGCTATGGCTAGAACCGGGGCTTCAAAGGCAGGGAACATGGAGCACCCGACAGCGTACCTATACGACTCAACAGGTGATCATCGGAGCATGGCACCCGCCCGCAACCTGCTCCTTCACACACGACCGGGGATGTTGGTGGATCAGGGGAGTATGCGGGCGTTAAACTCTTCCCCGACGGTACCTGGCAAGCGAAGATTGTGCCAGAGCCTTGGTCTTCACGGACTCTTGTTTTGAGTCACTTCCCCGATCAGCAACAAGCAGCACGCACTTTCGCTGCAGCGGCAGCGGTGATTAGGGCGGGTAGGCCACCGAGGGGACGCATGTGGCAGCTGACGGGAGAGGAGATGGACTTGCTTCAAGGGTGTACACCTGACATCACCCGCCAGCTGGTGACCGCACGGGTTTGGGGACGGTGGGAAAGGTGGCGAGCTGAGCTTGCGTCCCTCGGTGGTGCTATTCACGACCCCCTAGCTGCGGGGATTGCGCCTGCAGCGCAAACCCCTCCAGTGCAGCCTCCCAGTGCTACTCTCGGTGCTGCTCTCGCCCCCCCTTCCCCGGCCATTGCGCATGCAGCGCCAACCCCCCTTGTGCAGGCTCATGCAGTGCCACCTGGTACTACTCCCGACCTCCCTGCACTGGTGTTGTCGCCTGCAGCACCCGCCCCTCCTGGTCAGGCTACTAAGGGGCCTGCCGGTGCTACTCCCTCTACCCCTGCCTTGGCCTTTCCTCCTCCCACTGCAACTCCCCCTGTGCAGACTGATGTGGTGGCTGCTGCGGTAAGGCTGTTGCCTGAGGGCGACGAAGGCAATGAAGCCAACCCCCTCACTTCTAGGCATCAAGGTAGTGTTATTGTAACCCACCGTACCTTGTGCTCACTTTTCGAATGTTATTTTGCCACCTTTGTGTGATTTTCTTGTGTAACGCCCCTTTTTGGTTCCTTCTCTTTCTCTTATATGTCAGGAACTTCCAGCTAAGCACAACGTGATGGGCAATCCTGTCATACTTTCTAGATGGAATCAGTTTAGTCTTGAGATGGTCTGCTTGAACTCTGTGCTTTTCATCTCTTTTTGGATTGTGTTAGCAATAACCATCGTGTGTGCTACTTGACTGGCTTTTGTTTTTGTAGTCAATGCTTTCCTTGATCAATTTTGTGTTGCATTGCAGATCCCACCATCCAAACGTTGGTCTATTTGCATGATCCAAATAGCGAACATTCATGTTTACCCGTCGAAACAAACATGATCGCATTACTATCATTCATGATCGCACATCACTTGCGCTTTTGCGCAACCCACACGAGTGGTTGTTCACGGAACTTACGGGACGATCAATACCACGCTGTTGCATTATCATTTTTATGTGTATGAAGACAATCGATGGGTTTAACGTCCTATACTACTTCGAAAAGCACCCCGATTAGACATAACACAGCAGCGGCATACTGTATTATCGGTCTACCCTTCAGTTAGACAAAAACAATTCACCCCGACCGCCAGTCAAATTTATTATTTACTTATAACATTAGTTGGGGCATGATTAGGCGAAAGAAAACCACCCATTATTATTAGAGTTCACTGTGACCACTCATGACTTCAGCGTTAAGTCGCTACATCACATATATTCATTCCTTTTCCACACGTGTGATCGCCTAACATAACACCCAATTCACCAATGTGAGCAATTACTCCATGTTCTGTTAGCAACCCCATTAAAGATAGCAGGGTGTGCCGTTGATATCTGACCATGTATAGCAAAATAGTAACATGTCATCCTATGGTGGTTAAATGATGTGTTGATTGTTAAACCATCTTTGCTGTACTTCTCTATGATAACAATATCATAATGACATGACAATGGTCACCACAAGACTCACAACCAAATGCGTGCATATATGGTGTACCAAGTCCGTCTTGGCCTTCCATTGTTGCCGAGACGTGGACACTAATTCCTTCCACAAGGGACGTTCACATTGAAACCCTGTCCGTACTAAGTAATCTCTGAACTATGCCGGCCACCTGTGCACAAGATGGAGTTGTTCGTTTAGGAGTAGCAGAAATGGTTGATGTTGTTGAGATGTTTTAACAACCAAGAGAATTCTAAAATGATGGTTGCCTTTTTACATATCAATGATCTGTATCTAACATGCCGTAATTATATTAGAACCTATGGCCATAACTTCAGCAATTCATGCTATCATGTTTTTTTTTTGTTTAACACTAATAAAGAAACACGCACCGTAACGAAACAAAGGCACGATTTCCATGGTTTCGGGCCAACGACCAAGTTGCAAAATGGGTTCAATCATGAGCAGCCGTGCACTTTTCCGTACCATGTTTACTAAAATCATGATCAAACGAGCAGCAATTATGCCGCGCTCATGAGTGCTACTCGATTCATGGTCCCAACCGGCCTTCTTGACCCTCGATTCCGCCACCCGGCACTCAAGCCTTGCTCGAAACATGAGCGGTCGAGTAGCCATCCTGCCGCCAACATGTTTCCACCTCGAATCATGGTTGCTCAGTGCCTGTCACTCGAACACGCATGCTAACTGTTCTCCGAAACATGTACGAATGCGAAACACACATGTGCGTCCAAATTCATGTTTCCATATTCATGTTTCTTGTAGTTTCACACGTATACCCCAAATAATACCCCTCCTTTCTGTAAGCTTGTTTGTATATAACATCTACACACCCCACTTTTGACAGAACCACAATAAATAAAGATAGTGTACTCGACAAGTTCTGTAAGTTATGAGTCTACTATTAACTTAAGGTTCAAACAATTTGCCAAAACTCAACACCGCCGACACCTTTTACTCGCCAGCTACTGCCTCGAAATCAGCCCCTCTTCCTCATCTTGTGACGGTGCATCTGGCTGACCAGCCAGTGCCTAGCCATACCCACCGTACTTGAACCTGCACCTTTTGCGGTTGTGCCCGTACTGTCGGCATCGCCCGCACCGATAGGCGTGTGCCGGTGCCTCGAACCGGGTGTGATTCTCTGACCTTCCAAGCCTTGTCTCGATCAGAGAAGGCGCGTCACACACACCCTCTGGTGCCCGTGGAGCCTCCATGACCAGCCTGTCAACGCAAGTGCCCCTCACTAGTGGGTAGTAAGTGTGGCGGATGTTGCGTGCTGTGTAGTACTCGGACACGACACGAGGATCTCAACACTCCGTTTCTTGAGAATGCACATGGCCACTGCGTGTGCACATGGGAACTGGTACTCCTCCCAGTTCCCACTGTCGCATGTGTGGGCGTCGAGGTTGACGTTGAAGCTGTGCCACTGCGTCTCGTTCTCCCCCCCGTTGGTCTGTATGGTCCCCTCCGTGTTGTCCCTCCAATGAACCAGTACCCCTGACACCTCAATCGCTTCTGCTCGAGACGTTTTGTTGCAGCCACCGTGAGGTACTCATCCCTCTGTCGCGCGTTCTCTTGCCTCTCGTACCACTTGTTGCGGAACCAATCCCACGATGATGCTAGGAGCCATGTTGGCGGCAGCATGCGGATGGAGCGGACAGTGCTGTTTATGGAATCGACCGCATTGCTTGTGTAGATTCCAAAACGCAGCGTGACCGCAAAAAGGCGAGCCCAATGCAGCAGCATGATCTCCCCAATGCGATAGGATGATCCACGCCTGTTACGTTAGAACCCGGTGCGCACGTGTATGCCGGGTTCAACATCACCGTCATCCGCCTCATCTGCATCCTCCCGTGCATCCTCTGGCACCGGATCCTCCTCCCATGTAGGCTCGTCTACCCCTGGCGCCCCACAGTTACCTCGTTGTCCGCAGTCTGGCACTGGTAGAGCGAGCGCCGATGCAGGGTGGAATTGCTCAGCATACTCACCTTCTGGGACTCCATGAGTGCTCGTGGTCCTCCCTGTGTCAATGTGCTCGGCCCGGTACCACTCACGGGCTTGACGCAGGACTGTGTTCACGTCAAACGGCGGTGCACGCGGGTTACCCAGCGTGGTGAGTGCTCCGCCGCCGAAACCAGTGCCAGAGGGTGGTACACCCTCTGGACCCCGGAAACTGGCGCACGACCCACATCGTCCCCACCGGACCCTGGCCGGGAACCACTTCCCCCTGACCCGAGCCCGCCATGGACTTCGGCGCCTACACCTCCCATGCCAGTGCCCGATCCAACACCAAACCTGATATCACCCAGTCGCCCTCTCTGTACGCGACTAGGAGTTTCAAGACTCGATCCAGACCCAACCACCTCGCCACTCACAGCATAGACACTATCTCTTTCTCCAGGACCGAACATCGGCGCACCTCCATACTCACCCCCAATACCGGACCATCTAGCTCCGGCATCCCCCTGCCCTCCTGGTGCCCCACCGAGGGGCACTCCTCTCCCTCCGCCTCCAATGCCGGACCACTCTGCTCCAACACCCCCCTGCCCTCCTGGTGCCCCACCAAGGGGCACTGCTCTCCCTCCGCCTCCAAGGCCGGACCATTCAGCTCCAGCACCACCCTGCTCTCCAGCATCCCCACCGAGGGGCGCTCCTCTCCCTCCGCCTCCAATGCCGGACCATTCAGCTCCAGCAACCCCCTGCTCTCCAGCATCCCCACCGAGGGGCACTCCTCTCCCTCCGCCTCCAAGGCCGGACCATTCAGCTCCGGCACCCCCCTGCTCTCCAGCATCCCCAACGAGGGGCATTCCTCTCCCTCCCCTGCCAAGGCCGCACCCCGCAACACCACCGCCTCTCCCTCTGCGTCCACAACCAGATGTTGCACTGCCCCGACCCCACACTCCAACGCCGATGCCAAATCCAGTCCCTGCGCCCTCTCCTTCATCGTTCATCCCGGGTGGGACGCCATTTCCCCGATGCGCTCTGGCCCGCCGTCCACCTTCGTTCATCCCACCTTTGCCAGAGAGACCTCCGCCTTGGCTGTTGTACGCTTAAGGGTTGCCCTCCAGGAACCCACTTCCATGTGGTTGCGATGCGCTGTCCACGCCGTCGTTTCCAGCGTTGCCACCCTGACCCTGCCCTCTATGGGCCCTCCGCCCTTCGCGAGCACCCGCAAACACGAACGCCCTGGCACCCTCATATGTTGCACAAATTCCGGGAGGGGGCACGTTAGGCGCAAGTTGCGGTTATGGCTACGGCTGCTGACGGACAGGCCCAGGCGCAACCCATTTCGTTTTGCCTGACAAGCGCAACCTATGTCCGGAAAGTCTCTTCGAGCGGCTCCGACAAGCGCAACTCATTTCGTTTCGCCGCGACATTTCACCAGGCGCCAAAAGAACGCCATTGCCGCCTTACCGAAATGCTTTAGGTTTTGCTCCAGATGCCAAGCGCCGAAATAATGTGGGATGTGGCTTGGCATCACCTCCCTTGCAGCCGGCACCAACCCTTTATCGCGGTCGTTGATGATGGACGCATCGTCCCTCTGCGCCCACTCCGAAAAACCCTCAAGGAATAGCTTGAGAAACCTGGTCCAAGCTTCCTTGTTGTCCGACTCCACCAACGCCCAAGCCAGTAACAAGATTCCGTGGTTGCCATTAATGGTGACGGCGATGAGAAGCACAGCCTTTTGCGCACTAATGAGATGTGTGTCGTCAAGGGCGACGACAGGGCGGCAGAAGTTTAACGCATGTCGTGCTGCAGATGGACGCACGTAGAATCGGTGAAAACAACCGCCTAAAGTGTCCAACCACACCTGACCATCCGGGTCAATTACTGTGAAACGATCGACAAGCCACAGAACTTGACTAAATGACTCCTTCCAATAGCCATAACGCTATGCCATGATGTACTCTCGAAGCCGCCAAGCCTGCCAGTAGTGGATCACGACGTTCCCTTGGCCCTCTATATTTTTCTTTAGCTCCACGGGTGAGATGAAAGGATTGGCACGGACCATGTTAACGTAGCGCCGCGCCAGCACGGGAATTGTGTTGGCTATCCCCTCAGCGTAACCCTGCCTCCAATCCAATGAACATGTATGCGCCTCTGGAGGAACCAGGTTAGTAATGCGCCACAGTCCACCGTGGCTCATTTGACCGTATGAGCAACTCCATAGGCACGCCGGTAAGTAGCCGTCCACTGTGGCCTTGCAACCAACCACTACGTAGTTATGCTTCACCAAAAGAACTTTAACACCAAACCGATGCTCTAGAACATACGCATAGACGGCCTCTTTGCACTTATCACGGCTAGAGTACAGGCCTCCCAGCTCCAATGGCACGTTATCGTTAGGCCTGTCGTACCTTGGGTGAAACTCGGGTGCCGCATAAAGCTGGCGCGATGCCTGCATTAAGCCAGCATAAGCCGTCGTACTCTCACACGTCCCCCCCTTAAAGCTGGGTGGCGTGAGAAACACCCTGCTTGACAAGATAATCCTTGAGAGCACGTCGTGCGTTGCCCATATCAGCTTCTGCAACCCAACTGTCCTCCGACGGGTCGTATCCCTTCCAGCGTATCAGGAACTCGAGCGTGTTGATGCGTCTGCGTCGATGAGCGAGCACTCGTTCCACCTCGTACTCTGGTTCATCCTGTATGAGAACAAGTGGTGGTGGCGGTAGCTGGCGTCCCTGGAACTGTTGGTTGGGGTCCTTGTAGGGCTTCAGTAGCTGAACATGTAAAGCGTTGTGAAGCTTCCACGTAGTAGGTAAGCGCAAGCGGAATGTGACTGGTGTCACCTGTGCCTCAACGTGAAAAGGACCACAGAAGCGAGGCCGGAGCTTGGATGGTAGGTGAGAGAGGTTCAAGTTGCGCATGTGATCACGTCGCTGGCGATCGGCATACTGCTTCTGAGAGGTCTGCATCATGGTGAGACATCGTTGAGTCTTCTCCCATAGCTGCTGCATGGTGGTGACGAAATCATATACAACTTGGACGTGTGCCGTTGTGGTTGGCTGCTGTTGTGTAAGTGGTTCCCGTCCGTAGCACAGGAAGAAAGGAGATTTCCCTGTGGCCGCATGTGATGCGTTGTTGTAAGCGAACTCAAGTGTCGGTAACTGTGAATCCCAGTGGCTGACGTCGTCTTTGCAAGCGGTGCGCAGTAACTGTTCAACCACCTGATTGAGTCGTTCTGTCTGTCCGTCAGTCTGGGGGTGGTATGCGGAAGATATTGCAAGCTTTGGGTGCAAAAAACCCATGAGTTCCCTCCAGAACTTACTAGTGAACTTTGGGTCTCTGTCTGAGATGAGTGTAGCGGGGATGCCGTGGATGGTGATGATGCGGTCGAAGAAGAGGCGCGCAGTTGCTTCAGCTGTAGCCGTGGCGTTGGTCGGGATGAAGTGTCCCATCTTAAAGAACTTGTCGATCACCACGAGTATAGCGTAATGCCCTCGTGAGGTCGAAGGAAGTCCCGTGATGAAGTCGAGGCTAACGACCTGCCATGGCTGCTCCGGTACGGGTAGAGGCTTTTTTCTGCTTGCTACTCTTCATCCGCTGGCACGTGTCGCATGAGGTGACGAACTTCTGCACATCTGCTGCCATCCCGGGCCAGTAGTAATACTTCGCTATCCCTGCTAACGTCTTGTTGCTCCTGGAATGTCCCGCGTACTGTACGTCATGAAACTCCTCCAGCAGAATCTGTCGCAGCGGGGCATAGTTCGGTACCCAAATCTTCCCTGAACTCTTCCTTATAGCTAAGTCCTTCTCCCACTGTAACAGCTTCTGTTTCTCTGCTGTAGCGATCTCTGCGTCCACGGAGTATCCATGTTGGAATAGACCCTTGAGCAGAGGGTTCATCCCGTCGAGCTGGATGCATGCTACATGTCCGGGGCGGCTCAACGCCTTGTTGTGTAGCCCGGGTTTGTAGACGATGTCGTATTGGAAGTGAGTTTCCAAGAAGTCCACCCACCACACCTGTCTTCGTGAGAGCGTCGGCTGCGACTTCAAGTATTTGAGACTGCAGTGATCGGTGTAGACTATAGTCTTGGCTCCCTCTAGGTAACACCTCCACGCCTTGAAGGCTGTGACTATCGCTAAGGCTTCCTTGTCATGGATGGGGTAGTTCAGTTCTGCTCCGTGTAACTTCTTACTGAGGTAGGCGATGGGCTGCAAACCGCGTCCGTGGTCCTGCATCAGTACTGCTCCGACTGCTTGGTCACTAGCGTCTGCTTCCACCACGTAGTCTCTGTCTGGATCCGGTAGGATGAGTACTGGCATTGTAGTCAGTGCTGTCTGTAGCTGCTCCATGGCTTGCTGATGATGAGTATCCCATTTGTAGGGCGTATCCTTTTTCAGTAGGTTGGTCAGTGGCGCTGCTATCTTAGCGTACTGTGGCACGAACCTGTTGTAGTAGTTGGCAAAGCCTAGGAACTGCTACAACTCCTTCACGTTCTCCGGTACTTTCCACTTCTTGACGGCTTCGATCTTCCGCGGGTCCACGTGTACGCCCTCGGCACTCACCATGTGCCCGAGAAACTGTACCTTCTTCAGGGCGAAGACGCTCTTCGACACCTTAACGTAGAACTTGTTCTCCCGCAGGATCTCGAATTCTTTCCGCAGATGCTCCACGTGCTCCTTCATGTTCTTGGAGTAGATGAGTATGTCGTCCAAGTACACCACTACGCACTTGTCCAGCAGGGGCTGTAGGATGTGATTCATCTCCGCCTGGAACGTTGCTGGTGCGTTGCAGAGTCCGAACGGCATCACTAAGTACTCGTAGGAGCCGTATCTGGTACGGAACGCCATCTTGTGGATCGAGTTGTCTGCCATCTTGATCTGCCAGTAACCCGACTGTAGGTCCAGCTTCGAAAACACCGTTGCACCATGCAGTTGGTCTAGAAGATCGTCTATGCGCGGTATGGAGTATTTGTTCTTGACTGTCTGTTTGTTCAGTGCGCGGTAGTCAATGCACATCCTTAAATTACCGTCTGGCTTTGGAGTGAAGAGAACCGGTGCGCCATAGGGAGAGGTGGATGGGCGGATCAGTTTTATGTCTAGTAGGTACTCAATCTGTTTCTTCATGTCTGTCTGTTCGGTCGGACTAAGGCGGTATGGTGCACGTGAGACGGGTTTCGCATCTGGTTCCTCCACGATCTCGTGTTCGTGGGTTCGCGCTGGAGGCACTCCTGTAGGCAAGTCATCTGGCATGATGTCCTTGTACTCCGTTAACAACTCCTGTACTGCTGCTGGTAGCTCCGGGTTCGGCTTCTCCTCCTCTGCTGCTGCCATCACCAGTGCTAAGTACCCCGTGTTACTCTTGTTCACCATCCGTTCGAACCGTGCAAGTGTCGTCTCCGGGACATCCCCTGTATCCGTCCAGCTTCGCAGCTCCACACGTTTCCCGTTGGTGTAGATGCACGCCTTCCGGTTGACCCAGTCGATCTCGGGGTTGAACCGCTTCAGAAAATCATGCCCCAATATGAAATCCAATCCTTTGATGTTCGTGAACGGCAACGTCGGCTTCCACCTTAACGCTCCTATCTGCAGCTGAAGTGTTGACTCGCCGTGGATGGGAAGCTTCGTACCGTCCACCATCGTTGCTGTAAACCGGGTCTCCTCTGATGACTCCCCAATTTTCTCCAACGTCCCGCGGTCGCACACCGAGTGGGACGCACCACTGTCCACTAGTGCCTGGAGGCGTCGCCCGTTGCAGATCACCTCGAGGAGTAGTGGCTGTTGCTGCTCCGATTAGCTGTAGATGGTCTTGCTTATAGGATCATAGGGTACGTCAAATATATCGTCCTTAGGTCCTGCGCTCGAAGCTGCTGACTCAATATCAGGTTTCAACTGAGTAGGGTTAGAAGGATTTATTCTAGGCTGGTACAGCTTCTCCTGTGCTTGGAACCTTCCCCTAAGCCTTTGCAGCTGTGTAGGCTTCACCTGTGGGGAACGGCGGGGAGCCCTTAAACAGCGCTGCTGGGAGAGAATATTAACTCCTCGGAACGCTCGACCCTTATCAACACTCCGGAGTAGGGTCCCCATATTACTCGGTACCGGTTTAATTTCTGACTCTCCCTTAATAAAGGCTTGAAAACCACGAGAAGTAATATTCTTACTTGTCGAGGTGTACGGCTGGAGTTTCCCAGTCAGTGCAAGGTCTTGTTTCGCGGAGTCTCCTTTTGTCTCGGCGATTTCCCCTGGTGCCGGCTGGTCGTAACGTTTTAAATTCGCGCCATCATGTTCTCATTTATTCGCCCCCTCAGAAGTTGCCACGATGTCCGTTTTCTGCTTCGGGGGTACCGCACTGTTCTTGACCTTCAGCTCCGCACGTCTTTTCTTCATTTTCCAACACGCCAAGATACGATGTCCTGTAGCGACGCAAAATTCGCACGTCTCGTTGTTTGCTAGCCGCTGCTTCGCATCGCCCTTGTCGTTCTCCATCGGGTCGGCAGTCGTGGGTGGTGCCGATCGCTCCATGCCACTATTTGGCTTGTTGCGTCGTGTTCCGTAGTAGCTACTGTTCAACGCGTCGAACTGTTCGATCATTGCTGCCCGAAACTGCGTCCACGTCCCTTCGCCTTGGACAAATTTGTTGTTGATCCACTCTAGAGCTGGGCCACGTAACAGTGTTGCTGCGAGCCGTGTGCGCATCGCGTCTTAGGTGGGGGTCGTGCATCCAACGGCTTCGAAGTAAATTTCGAGTTCAGCTACGAATCGATGAACGTCGCTCCCGTTAACTATAGGATCGAACGCCTCCGGTAGCCTCGGCTTCACCGCTTCGAGGTCAACTGTAGCTGCTGCTGCTGTCGCTGCTGCATTCGCTGCTGCTGTGGCAGTTGCCGACTGGTTCGCAATGAGTTTTTTGAGTCGTAGGAGCGCCGCACATATCTGTGTCAGAAATGTGAAGGAAATAATGATTGAATTAGCAAGCAGGTGGGTACAAGTAGGAAAACCTAAAAGTGTTGTACCCCATATTGACTACCCCACTACAGCCTACACAGACTATGTCATATAAGTTTGACACACCCCCATAGGCAAAGTGGGGGAGAACAAGAGGTCACAAGACCAGTCAAGAAAAGCAAAGCAAGCTCAGGGTGGATCACGACGTCACCACGCATTCTGAGCACAAGCAAATGGCCACAAGGCCAGTTCATATGCAGAGTTATATAAAGGAGAACAAGTAGTACAGTGATCACAACCTAGCAAGTGTAAGCATGCAGGTATATGTATAGAGATCACAGTACAAGCAAAGTCAAGAAGTGAGCAAGTGAGGCCAAGTAGGCACAAGGCCTAGAACAGTACAGAAACGCTGATGATCACAAGGCTGGAGTGCCTTGGTGAAGACATCAGCTGTGTTGGCCTGAGAGGCCACGTAGACAAGACGAAGCTGACCACGCTGCTGCAGCTCTCGAGCAAGGAAGTAGCGCAGAGCGATGTGCTTCGTTCTCTGCTCCAGTCTGTGCTCCTGACACAAGGCAATCATGGCCTTGTTGTCGACGTACAGAACTGGAGGAGAACGAGGCGGCTCGCCCAAGTCGTTCAGCAGGTAGGTGAGCCAGCGTAACTCCTGTGCAGCCATGGCCCCTGCGTAGATCTCAGCCTCACAACTGGAGCTGAGAACAGAAGACGAGCGGGTAGACCGCCACGAAACAGAGCCGGAGCCAAGGCTGAAGGTGTAACCCTGTGACGACCGCTGCGTAGCCAAGTCGTCAACCCAAGAAGCGTCTGCGTGACCGGTGAGGACAACTCGAGCCCGTCCTCCAAGCACGAGCCCCATGCCCGATGTACTGCACAAGTAGCGCATCACCCTCTTAGTGGCCTTCCAGTGCTCTGGTCGGTGTCTCCCGGGCGCAACGTAGCGAGCCAGGATGCAAAGAGGGTAAGCGAGGTCAGGTCGAGTGCAGGTCATCAGGTACATGAGGCAGCCCACAAGCTCTCGATACGGGCCACTCGGCTCTACGGACTCATCTGAAGGCAGAGCTGAGAGCGAGTGACCGGTAGGCAGAGGAGTGGCCTGTGGCGAGGAGTACTCGAAGCCGAAGCGCTGAAGGACCTGCTGCACCATGTGTGACTGAGTCAAGGTAATGGTGCGCCGTGCTCTGTCCCGGGTGATCTGCAAGCCAAGATAGCTGCGCAGCCCACCCAGGTCTGTGCACGTGTGTCTCTTCTGCAGCTCCGACTTCACAAAGGCCAGTCCAGCAGTGTCAGCAGTGGCAAAGACCAAGTCGTCGACGTACACGAGGATGTAGAACGGCGGCAGAGAAGTGTCGGTGCGTAGAAACAGCGACGGGTCAGCAGTTGAAGGAGCAAACCCAAGAGCCGCAAGCGTCGTCCTCAGTGTGTCGTGCCACTCGCGAGGCGCCTGGCGAAGACCGTAGACTGGCCGCCGGAGGCTCCACTGGGTACCTGCAGGAAACGACCCAGTGAAGCCCGGTGGGCGGCGCAGCCAGATCTCCTCGTGCAGGCTGCCCTGTAAGAAAGCAGTGCTGAAGTCAAGAGAGTGAAGCTCGTAGTCACTCTGAGCGGCGACGTGCAGCAGAACCCAAAGAGTAGTCATCTTCGGGGTGGGGGAGAAGGTCTGGAAGAAGTCAACTCCCTGTCGCTGACTGAAGCCACGTGCAACGTAACGCGCCTTGAAGACAGGCGGAGAACCCGGCGGCCGCTTCACCCTGAAAATCCACATGCCACTGACGATGTTCGCCCCAGGTGGGGGAACCTCGTCAACGTAAGTGCCTGTGGACTTCCAGGATGCCATCTCTGCGTCCATGGCTGTCTGCCACTGAGAGGAGTACGGACCCTCAATCGCCTCTGCGTAAGAGCGCGGGGTCGGGATGTCTGGTGCATCCGGGTCTCCCTCAGGTGCAATCAGCATGGACACGAGATGAGGTACAGCAGCTGCAAAGCACTCAAAGTCCTCGTGCCTGTCCTCAACGACGTCCGTGCCAAGAGCACACTCACCCCCGACGGACGGAGGACAGACAGACTCAGACTCAGCAACAAGACTAGCAGCGTAGTCTAGACGACAGGCGGTAGCAAAGTCAACAAGCTCAGCAACTAGGGCAGACGCAGCAGTGGACTCAAACGAAGGGTCACTGACAACAGTAGCGAGAAGACGCGTGACAGTAGGACTGGCAGCACAAGCAAGGTCTGACGGCGGGTCAGCAACGTCAGGAAGAGAGGACGCAGGAGGAGACGGCAGAGGGACACGCTGTGGAGCAGTGGAAGGACGAAGTGCCATCTGGTGCGTGCCTGGGACAGCAGGAGGACGCTGACGCGAAACACGACGACCAGTGTGAACAGCGCGAACATGCGACGCAGGACGAGACTCAAGTGACCCAGGACGAGACTCAGGCAACACAGGACGAGAGTCAGGCTCACGACGCTCCGTAAGACCCCTAGTTGGCCTAGAGTAAGGAGAAGGACCAGGCAGTGGAGAGGCTAGCTGTAACTGCGACTGCCACTGGACAGGCTGTGGACACAGTAACGGAGGAGTAGGACCAGTAGAAGGCGGGAGACCAAGAACCTGCTGAAGGAGGGGAACGAAGTACGGCCGCGGCCGCGCAGCGCCTCCTGAACCAGCAGAGACAGTACCAGTACCCCCAGCGCCAGGGTCTCCAGCTCCAACTCCCTCAGCACCACCAGCTCCAGCACCAGCAGCACCTCCAGCAGCAACAGCTCCAACTCCTGCAGCACCACCAGCTCCAGCAGCTCCAGTACCTCCAGTACGAGCACCTCCGGGACCAGCGGCTCCAGCACCTCCAGCAGCTCCAGCACCAGCAGTACCTCCAGCAGCTCCACCTCCAGCAGCTCCAGTACTTCCAGTACGAGCACCTCCGGGACCAGCGACTCCAGCACCTCCAGTAGCTCCAGCACTAGCAGTACCTCCAGCAGCTCCAGCTCCAACAGCTCCGGTACCTCCAGTACGAGCACCTCCGGGACCAGCGACTCCAGCACCTCCAGCAGCTCCAGCACCAGCAGTACCTCTAGCAGCTACAGCTCCAGTAGCACCTCCAGCGGTAGGCCCCCTAGCTCCAGCAGCACGGCTACAGCGCCGAGCGTACCACTCGCGCAGCTGCTGTGGAGAGAGGGGCTCCTGCCGTGACAAGACACCCGGAGGACCTCCAGACTCAGCACGCTCAGGCTCAGCACCCCCAGGCTCAGCACGCTCAGGCTCAGCAACCCCAGACTCAGCACCCCCAGTCTCAGCACCCCCAGGCTCCGCACGCTCAGGCTCAGCACCCCCAAGCTCCGCACCCTCAGACTCAGCAACCCCAGGCTCAGCACCCCCAGGCCCCGCACCCGCAGGCTCAGCACCCCTAGAGCACCAGAGTCGACAGCTACCTCGACAGGCTCGACAGGGTCTACCTGGGACACACCTGAGGGGGCAGGACCCTGAGGGGGGAGGGGGTCTACCGGAGGAGCACCTGGTGCTAGGAAGAGCGGCGGGGGGGGGAGAGGGGCAGTGCGGTAGGGAAAGAGACGGTAGTAAGATACCGACTCGTCAAACGTGACGTCCTGAGAGGACAGAACACGACGCGAGGTGGGGTGGTAAAACTGCCACCCAGGCGCGTCAGGGGGGAAGCCAAGGAAGACGCAGGGAACAGCACGGGAGGACAGCTTGTCCGCGGAAGAATCGCGGACAAAAGCTCGAGATCCCCAGACACGGAACACAGACGCATCGCCGACCTTCCCCGTCCACCGCAGAGTAGGTGTGGTCTCCGGCAAGGAGACACGAGGCTGAAGGTTGATCTGATGCGCAGCGTACTGAACTGCGAACGGCCACAGAAAATGGGGAGCAGCGGCATGGATCATGGACGTACGAGCGACGTCCATGACCATGCCAATGCGGCGCTCAGCAATCCCATTTTGCTGTGGGGAGGCCGGAAGCGTGAACGTCTGGCGGATGCCCTCCGCACGACAGAAGGCCCGCAGAAGGTCGGAGGAAAACTCACCACCTCTGTCTGAGTGCAGACGCAGAACAGGAAGGTCCGAGCCGAAACTCTCGCTGAGCTGGCGACGGGCAGCGCGGATCCAGGTGATCAACACCTCAGTGACCTCACCCTTGCGGCGCAAGGGGAAGACTGTAGTGTAACGCGAGTAGTCGTCAACGACCAGCAGAAAGTAACGCTCGTGACCCTGTCCACGGACGCGGGCTGGGCCCCACACGTCCATGTGTAGAGTCTGCAGGGGAGCCTCCGTCGGAGGGAACTCGGTGGAGTGAGGAGCGGCGTGCTGCCGTCCCTCGACGCAAGGAACGCAGGTAGGGGCAGGCCCCGGTGGGAGGGGAGGGAGAGACCAGGGGAGACCAGAGACAAGGGTACAGGAGGCCATACCTCGGAGACGAGGCAAGGAGGGGTGACCAAGGCGGTGGTGCCAAAGGAGAGTCCGGTGTGACAACAGTGGCCAGGAAACGCGTGACAGTAGGACTAGCAGCACGAAGGGAGTCAGACTCCGGGTCCGGACCGTCAGGAAGAGAGGACGCAGGAGGAGACGGCAGAGGGACACGCTGTGGAGCAGTGGAAGGACGCAGAGTCATATAGTGAGTGCCGGGGACAGGAGGAGGACGCTGACGCGGAACACGACGACCATTGCGGACAGTGCGAACAGGCGACTCAGGACGAGACTCAGGCTACGCAGGACGAGACTCAGGCTCACGACGCTCCGTAAGACCTCTACTCGGTCCAGAGTAAGGAGAAGGACCAGGCAGTGGAGAGGCTGGCTGTAACTGCGACTGCGACTGGACAGGCGGTGGACTCAGTAAGGGAGGAGTAGGACCAGTAGAAGGCGGGAGGCCAAGAACCTGCTGAAGGAGCGGAACGTAGTATGGCCGCGGCCGCGCAGCGCCTCCAGAACCAGCAGAGACAGCACCAGTACCCCCAGCTCCAGGGTCCCCAACTACAACTCCCGCAGCACCACCAGCTGCAGCACCTCCAGCAGCTCCAGCTCCAGCAGCACCTCCAGCAGCAACAGCTCCAGCACCAGCAGCACCTCCAGCAGCAGCAGCTCCAACTCCCGCAGCACCACCAGCTCCAGCACCAGCAGCACCTCCAGCAGCAGCACCTCCAACTCCTGTAGCACCACCAGCTCCAGCAGCTCTCCAGTACGAGCACCTCCGGGACCAGCGGCTCCAGCACCTCCAGCAGCTCCAGCACCAGCAGGACCTCCAGCAGCTCCAACTCTAGTAGCTCCAGCACCTCCAGTGCGAGCACCTCCGGGACCAGCGGCTCCAGCGCCCCCAGCAGCTCCAGCACCAGCAGGACCTCCAGCAGCTCCAACTCCAGCAGCTCCAGCAACACGGCGACAGCGCCGAGCGTACCACTCTCGCAGCTGCTGTGGAGAGAGGGACTCCCGCCGTGACAAGACACCCGGAGGACCTCCAGACTCAGCACGCTCAGGCTCAGCACCCCCAGACGCAGCACCCCAAGGCTCAGTACCCCCAGGCTCCACACGCTCAGGCTCAGCACCCCCAGACTCTGCAACCCCAGGCCCCGCACCCGCACCCGCAGGCTCAGCACCCCTAGCAGTACCAGAGTCGACAGCTACCTCAACAGGCTCGACAGGGTCTACCTCGGACACACCTGAGGGGGCAGGACCCTGAGGGGGGAGGGGGTCTACCGGAGGAGCACCTGGTGCTAGGAAGAGCGGCGGGGGGGGGAGAGGGGCAGTGCGGTAGGGAAACAGACGGTAGTAAGATACCGACTCGTCAAACGTGACGTCCTGAGAGGACAGAACACGACGCGAGGTGGGGTGGTAAAACTGCCACCCAGGCGCGTCAGGGGGGAAGCCAAGGAAGACACAGGGAACGGCACGGGAGGACAGCTTGTCCGCGGAAGTATCGCGGACAAAAGCTCGAGATCCCCAGACACGGAACACAGACGCATCGCCAACCTTCCCCGTCCACCGTAAAGTAGGTGTGGTCTCTGGTAAGGAGACACGAGGCTGAAGGTTGATCTGATGCGCAGCGTACTGAACCGCGAACGACCACAGAAAATGGGGAACAGCCGCATGGATCATGAACGTACGAGCGACGTCCATGACCATGTCAATGTGGCGCTCAGCAATCCCATTTTTCTGTGGGGAGGCCGGAAGCGTGAACGTCTGGCGGATGCCCTCTGCACTACAGAAAGCCCTCAGAAGGTCGGAGGAAAACTCACCACCTCTGTCTGAGTGCAGACGCAGAACAAGAAGGTCCAAGCCGAAACTCTCGCTGAGCTGGCGACGGGCACCGCGGATCCAGTCGATCAACACCTCAGTGACCTCACCCTTGCGGCGCAAGGGGAAGACCGTGGTATAACGCGAGTAGTCGTCAACGACCAGCAGGAAGTAACGCTCGTGACCCTGTCCACGGACGCGGGCTGGGCCCCACACGTCCATGTGGAGAGTCTGCAGAGGAGCCTCTGTCAGAGGAAACTCGGAGGAGTGAGGAGCGGCGCGCTGCCGGCCCTCGACACAAGGAACACAGGTAGGGGCAGGCCCTGGAGGAAGGGGAGGGAGGGACGGGGGAAGACCAGAGACAAGGGTACGGGAGGCCATACCTCGAAGACGAGGTAGGGAGGGGTGACCAAGGCGGTGGTGCCAAAGGAGAGTCTCGTGTGACAGAGGACGACACGAGCAGGGGGCAGATGCCGGACTAGACCTGGACGCGGCAGCAAACACCTGACCAGACGCGGCTACCTGACCAGACGCAGTAACCGGAGGAGACGCAGTAGTCAGTGTGTACAAACTCAACCCATGTCGACGGGTGAACGTGGCCAGGTGGCGGCCCGTCCGAGAGCAAGTGCAGTGGGTCACATGCTGACCTCCAGGGGTGAACTGGTCAACCCACACGTCCTGGAGGTCAGCTCCACTCACCAAGTTCGTAGAGAACGAGGGGAGGTGGAGTCCCGACAGTAAGCCAGACGGGGCCGCATGACACGGTAGAACCGTGGAGGAGTACGCAAGGACTGGGCCCCCAGAGGGGTCAGCCAGGGAGACTGCAACAGGCCGACTGAGCGGCGTGAGTGTGGTGCTGTCGCGAAAGAAGGAGCGCGAAGCACCTGAGGCAAGTGTGAAGGTGTGCAAGGCCTCAGTAGGTGCAGTACCAGAGAGAGCAGACTCACCAGCACCTGGAGTAGCAGACTCACTAGCACCTGGAGCAGCAGACTCACTAGCACCTAGAGCAGCAACCTCAATGCCCGGGTCGGGCGGAACACACAGGTAGCAGTCACCCTCAGCACTATCAGTCACAGCATACATGGCAGCAAGGATAGCATCAAAATCAAGATCAAAGATAGCAACATTCTGCCTAAGCAGATCACCCCAGCGAGGGAGCTCAGCGCCGTCAGGAAACTGGGCGCGCCAGGCGTCAGTCAGGCGACCGAAGCAGCGCTGCGAAGTGTGGGGCAGTCCGCACGTCTCCCCATGGCGCCCGCCGGTGCGAAGAACGTAAGTACAGGGACCAGCACCCCCAGACCTCCCACGCCTAGCGTACCACTCACGAAGCTGCTGGGGCGACGGGGTCTCACGGGAACGCGGCTGCTGCTGGCGCTGGCTACCGCCAAAGCCTCCACGATGCGCGGCTCAACCTCGACCAGCACCACCGCCGCCGCCACCTCCACCGCCGCTGTCGCTGCCTCCACCGCCCCCACCGCCGCTGCCGCTGCCTCCACCACCCCCACCGCCGCCACCGACGCCCCCACTCCCGCCACCACCCCCACCTCAACCGCAAACCCCTCTGCTCCTCCACCGCCTCCACCGCCGCCCCCACCGTCCCCTCCACCACCCTTGCCCCCCTTGCCCTTGCCGTAGCGGCGCCGCCCAGTAGGAGCAGACGCAGCCCCGACCTCCTCAGTGCCAACGAGGTCGACAGCAGCAGCAGAAGCAACAGAGGGGAGAAGGGGCACGGGGGAACACCCCTCAAAGAAAGGGGCGCGAGGGTCGCCGCGAGAAGCACCTACAGCAACGATACTCTTCTCAGCTGCAGTGAGGCGCTCCTCTAGCAGGTCGATGGTGAGCTCGGTGGGGCAAAGGGAGAGAAAGCGGTCCCTCACTGAAGAAAGGGAGTCAGGGAGACGGGTGACTAGGTAGTAGAGGGTGATGTACATGGGGGGGGGGGGTTCTTGGCACAGAACTCAGTGGGAAGCGCAGCGCGGTAGCGGGCGTCACTAGTGCGGAGGTGAGTAATGAGGTCAGCGACTGTGGCAAAGGCGGCTAGGTCAGGGAACAGGTACGGCAGCATGAGGCGGCTGAGGGCAGCAGTGGCAGGGGAGGAGTAGCGCGCTACGACAGCGTCATACAAAGACTTAGCAGTCTTGTACTGGCCAAAGTGCGCGCGCTCAGCAGATGGCAGGTGACTACGAACAGCAAGGCGAGCAACAGCGTCACGAGTAGTCCACTGCGAGCGAACCGTACTATCAGTAGTGGCAGCAGGTGCAGGAGAGACACCAGACGTGTGATCGAAAAGGGAGACTCCGTCCTTAGAGTCGCACTGAAGAAAGAGCTGTAGGTCGTCTACCCAAACGTCGAAGTCAACCGCACGACCCTCAGCATCAAAGGTAAGAACATTAGGGCTAGCCATGGCGGCAGTAGCAGCAGTAGCAGCAGAAGTAGCAGTAGCAGCAGGAGCAGCGCGGGCAGGGCAGTGCGGCTCAGTAGGGCGGCGCGGCTCGGTAGGGCGGCGCGGCTCGGCTGGGCGGCGCGGCTCGGTAGGGCGGCGCGGCTCGGCTGGGCGGCGCGGCTCGGCTGGGCGGCGTGGCTCGGCTGGGCGGCGCGGCTCGGCTGGGCGGCGCGGCTCGGTAGGGCGGCGCGGCTCGGCTGGGCGGCGCGGCTCGGCTGGGCGGCGCGGCTCGGCTGGGCGACGCGGGTGCTTACCAGGGGCGGGTGCAGGGCAGGGCCGCAGCTGGCGGTTAGGTCAGGGCCGCGACTGGGGCGGCTGTAGGGCAAGGCCGCGACGAGGCGGCGGCAGAGCAGGGCCGCGACAGGGCGGCAGCAGGGCAGGGCCGCAACTGGGCGGCGGTAGAGCAGGGCCGCGACGAGCGGCTGAGGGCAGAGGCCGAGACGGGCGGCAAGGTCAGGGCCGCGACGAGGGGCGGCAGGCCAGGGCCGCGACGGGCGACAGGGCAGGGCCCCGACGGGCCGAGAAGGCAGGGCCGCGACGGGCGGCACTAGGGCAGGGCGCGCGACGGCGCAGGTGAGGCAGGCGCGAGGCACGCTTCGGGCAGGGCAGGAAAAAAAAAATCGTGGTGGGCCCTAAAAAAACGTTCCCACTAGGGAACCTGCTCTGAAACCATGTCATAAATGTGAAGGAAAGAATGATTGAATTAGCAAGCAGGTGGGTACAAGTAGGAAAACCT